AGGTGGGCGCGCCCCACAGTTTGAGAAACGCTGAAGTGACCCTTAAGGTTGTTTTCGCCATATATACCAGAGCGTGAACTTGACGCGGAACACATTTTCGGACAGAAAAAATTTCTTAATTTTGATAAAAATTTGTAACATTGTAACTCATGCATTTGTCTATACTATAGTGTTTTTAAAATTTCGAAATATTTCCTAAATAATTCTTTTTTCCTTTTAACATCTGAAGGGATAGCTCATTTAGCATTACGGTATTGGGGAAAAATGCGAAACATCTCTTATAAAAGAAAAATGTGTCAACTCGGATAAAAATGAGTAGTATGATAAAACAAGTGATTCCTTACAGGATAGTGCAGCCAAAATATAATATTAATGTTTGAGTACTTTTATATTTGAAAAAATATTACGAATTTGGCCCCTATTCTTTAACATTAGCCGAAGACAGACTTAAGAGAATTATTTTAACCAATACTGAGAATTCTGTGACTGAGTAATAATCTAATATACATGTAATTTTACGTATTCTTTATATAAACACTCAGGAACATTGAAAATAGCGACCCAAGAAGAAAGCATCGGATTGAAATGAAATTTAATACACATAATGACACATATGAGAAATTCACTCCATCTAAAAAACAAGACAATTAAACGAATACAGAGTGTGCAACGACACAAATACTGGGCAACTTCAATAGCGCGTTGGACCAGCTCCAGCTACAATACATGCCGCCACACGGTCCGGCATTGAGTTGATTAGACACCTTATGTTGTCCTGAGGCAGATGGGCCCACAATTCTTGAACAGCCAACTAGAAACTATGTACAGAGTGACACGATAGCATCTGCCGTTTTAGCTGATCCCACACGTGCTCTACAGGGGACAAATCGAGGGAGTAGGGCCGGCATGGAAGAGTCTGAAAATGACGTAGGAAGTCTGGAGCAACTCTTGCGGTATGCAGACAAGCATTATCTTGCTGGAAAATTGCCTCTGGGAGACCATTTAGGAAAGGTCCTACATGGGGTCAAAAATATCATCAACATAACGTTTGCCCATTAAGGTTCTAATCTCTGCATTTCTCCTCAGGCTCACGGGCAATGAGGGAGGTTACATCACTAGGTAGGGCACCAATGAGATAGGGTACCCACACATCTTCACCAAGATCTAATAGCTTCATTTGCCGTTCGAATAAGGTGAGGAACAGGTCAATGTTATCAACTTCAGGATTGAATGTTGGTAGCAATTTTTTTAATTCAATTTTTGTTTGGGGTAGGGTTAGTGGACCTACGACTCTTTGAGTCTCATTTTGCAGTCGTATTTTCTGCAGCTCAAATTCATGCAGTGTTTGCTCTTTTTATTTGTTTTCCTCGTCTATCCTATTTGATACGATTCCCTCAAAGATACATTTCACGAATTCAGGGTCTTCCTTATAAGCATCATTTGTTAAAATTTTTGTCCTTAATTCAATTATTTTTAGCTCTTCCCCATTCGACTCACATTCACCTAACTCAATAGCAAGTTTAATGAGATCAGCTTTTTTCCCTTTTCCCAGAAATGACATGATTGAGAAATTTAAGAGTTGCAAATAAATAAAATAAATAACAAGGTCCAGGCCTTATTGTCCACCAAAGCTCTTACAGATATGGGAATACACTTTAAAGTATGGCTAGCTTTAAAATCTTATAAATTATTATGCACTTTAAAATACAATTAAAATGGGTAAGTAAATTAATAACATATTCAAAATACCAACAAGGAACATTAATTCAAATAATAAAATAGTATAAAGAAAATTTAGGAATCATCAGTTGTAATGATACAAAAATTCAATGCAATGAAAATACCAAACAAAACTAAAATAATCAGGCATGTAATGCTACCTAAATTCAATAGGAAATCAGTAACATATCAAACAAAATAGTAATTATTAATGTGCAATTCACAAAATATTAATCACGAAACGTAATCTTACAAGAAATAAAATAATATACAGCAAAATTAAGAATTATCATTGCATAAGAATACCAAAAAATCAATGAAATAAAATAATAAAATTATCCCTAGCACTAACACATTGTAGCAGGATTGCTATCACTTGTATATGAAAAATGCACAAAACACTATCGCAAAAACTTTTAACAGGAAATAGATGTTCTCTTTTTTTCTTTTCTTCAGACAATTGAAGTCAGGATGATTCACTTTGTCTGTCGATTTCCAGGGATTTTCTCTTGCTTTAGAAGGATTGCGGCGCAATACCAACTTTGTATAACTTTTCTTTGCGGGACAGTAAGGTTTTCAGAGTCGGTTAAATTTTCATTTTTCTGCGGCGTTTCGTCACAGCGATGGTTTCTGTTTCTACGGGGTCGCAGCTCTTAGGCCCCCACGGGTGTGGGCGCCAGTTTTAACACGCAAATAAAAAAATGTCAGCAATTCTTGCCACATATAACTGAAGACTTTTTATTTTACATAACTGAATATTCCATCTCCTTATCTATTTTCATCCAGAGTTCCAGAACTTTCCATTATTAAAATTACAGTTAATTTTTATAAATAAAAGCACGCGCGCGCGAGCATTAATATAAAGCATTAATAAAAGCAGTAATATAAAGCACGAGAGAGATAAAGAGTTACCATTTGTTACAATATAAATTAAAATGCGGGGATAGAAGACTTTGTAAGCTATTCGCCCGTGGGTGATGCTTTACTTCTTTGTGACCTAGAGGTGTCAGAGTGAATAAAAAACCAGGCGTTGGCATAATCTTAATATCTCTTTATTAAGATCTTAATTTAAACACTAACAATCATAATATTTATATTTAAGCTTAGTGGATCTGAGGTGAGAAACACAATACGTATCACCAAATAAGCGCGACCTAATAACTATAGTTAACTTTACCACCTATTCCTAATCTCAGCAAATACACAGCTTCTTGTATTAACTTGAATGATCCTACCTCTATATTCTAGGTAGCAGCAACACTCTCGAATGTTCAATATAATTTCCTTATCTCGCGTGGAATAGTATCCACCTTGCTTGAGCGCACTTTCATGAATATCTGACACTAGAATATCGGCTTACTTCAGCTTACGCGCTTAATCTCCGACTCGCATAATCACTTTCCAAAAGGCCACATCGCTTACGTTAAACTGTTGCTATTTAAAAGGTTCCTAATTTGAATAATCACGCTTTGCTTCTGGATTTGGTTGGAAAAGATTTGCCTTTTTTCGGCTCTAAAGAAACCAAGAAGAAACAACTTAAAATTTATTTTTTTCTGTTTACAATATATTGAAAAAAATAGATCTATAAAATAATTGTAAATTACAGATTTTCATAGTTTGAGCAATGAGTATGAACAGTTGAAAAATGTGTACTATGTTGATGAGTCCCCTATTAGGCAGACAGGGGTTCCACCCTCCCTGTTTTTATTAAAATAAATGAGTACGTTTTAACCTATTTATAAAACACGTGAGAATTTCTATAGTTTTTCCAAAACATATATATATATATTTATTTAATGGAAGAGAATGTCACGCATACATAATCAATATAATAAATGATATCTATGAGTTTTGTATATATAGAAACATTTTAAGAATAAAAAAAATTAACATTAATGCATAAGTTATTTTAAATACTTCAGCTTGAAAACAAGTATTTATATATATATATATATATATATATATATACATACATATAACTCCCTTGTTTACATTTAAAACCGCATTAAATAACCCTTAACTTTTATATATATATATATTATTTAACACATAAATTCATTCATTTACGTTTACTTTGTAGCATATATTTAACTCAATTTTCTCATTTCAATGCTTTTATCAAGTACAGAATTAGCTTCAATGGCTTTATTAACGAGTTCTGCATTTGAAAATATTTACCTGCTTATGTATAAATAAGAAAGCTTATCCAATCTAAATTCCCTTCCCGTATCGAAAGAGAACCTTAACATGTAAACACGTCACAAATAACAAGCAATACATTGATAACTAAATTTAAGTTTAAAGAAACAGAAATAACTTTATAACAGCAATAATTAAATGCTGGCTTAATATAAATGGTGAGATAAAGAGAAATAATATTTATCTGGTAAATATTATTAACCTGGTAATTGCGTTTGAAAATGATACACATTATTACTATTCTAGAATTTAATTTTTATTGCAATTTAATACAGATGACAAACAGAGACCATTTATGAACTTATTTCCTCATGCATAATAAATAAAGTTGTTTTTTAAATGGACATTTTAGCAAACACACTTAAAAAAAAGTGTGCGTGTACTTATGTACGCGGGTAAGAAGTTATACTTCTTTGGCGTAACAAGATTAAAATCTTTCTAAAAGTCTTTAGCAGGGCAAGATGGGCCAAGGACGAAAGGCGGCCACGAGCAGAGTTGAACGATACTTACCTTCAGTCAATCGGACCAGCCAAACCTGAGATAATCACGATTTAAATAAATGTAAACACTTCCGCAAAGGGACAATAGGACCAATAACGTGTGTGTAGGGGGGAGAGTATCAGACTATATCTGGAGATGAAGTGAACCGAATGTGACATCTGAGAACTCATATTGAATGTCTTGGTGGGAAGAATCATTCCTGAGAAAATTAAGACATCCGCTTGTTCATTTATGGTCATTTTAAAATAATTTAAATATTTAAAACAATAAAATAGAAGCAGGGCACCCAGAAAATCAAAACTGGACCTGGTTTTGAGCAATCACAAGAGGAATCCATTAGAACCGGTCCGGAGTCCGTAGTTGCAAATGAGGGGGTATAGCTCATTGGTAGAGCATTCGACTGCGGAACGAGAGGTCTTCGGTTCAAATCCGGGTGTCCTCTTCTTCAGGGAAGCGAAGAGAAATATATATATATTTTTGAGAATTTTGAAGGTGGCAATGATCTTCCTGTTCGGTATATTTCTAGACAAAGCCTTTTCGTATCCGTTCCTACGAAACACAAAGCAAAAGCTAGCTGACGCGGGGGTATAGCTCAGTGGTAGAGCATTCGACTATAGATCGAAAGGTCCTCGGTTCAAATCCGGGAGTCCTCCTCTTCAGGGAAGTGAAGAGAAATATTTTCCTGAGAATTTTAAAGGCGGCGATGATCTGTCCCGTTCTGTATATTTCTAGACAAAGCAATTTCACATCCGTGACTGTGTGCGTCACTTCCATGACGGTGTGCGCGCGCATCGTAAAAATTCACCCCAATCCTATTTCTCTAACGCCCCAAAAGAAGTATAACTTCAAAAAATATATTTTTTGCTATCTCCTCTTGTTCACCTTCGTTTATTAGTTTTACATTAATCTGTAAATATATTTTAAACATCAAATAATTAAGAAATGCGTATTATTTGCTGAATATGTAAGCTCAGGTATCGTGCTCGTCTCTTGACCGAAGTTCAGATTTACGAGGTAAGTCGCCAATGTCCCTCCAGTTGCTTTATGGGAAAACGATGATAAAACTCTGACTCTCATTATTTTATTATGATATTATCTATACTTACGAGTGAGATATTCATATTAACGTCATACTATAAAACAACACGAGGGCTTTTGGCAAAGGATTCGTAATTTTGAACCTCAGAAAAGTGACGAGGACGGCTTTCTTCTAACTAACACACCAACGGGAGGACGTTGAACCTCGACAGATGTAATGTGCATCCTCCTCCTCTACATAGCCAGTCGTCAGTGGTCCCAGGACTCGAACCCGAGACAGTAGGCCACGAGTTTGTGTTTGTAACCACTAGTTAACCATAGTTTGTACTTGCCAGAGAGTTGAATGGTAATATATATATATATATATATATATATATATATATATATATATATATATATATATATTCCAATGTTGTTATTTTGATTGTTGTCTTTTTTATACCTGTCTTTGCTGGCTGGTTTAAAAGTCAGCTCAAAAGATGTGTTTATGTATTTTAGAATTTTTTAACTTGGTGAATAATTGATTTTCATTAATGGCAAGACGCTTGATTCTCTTCGTAAAAGCTTTGTGAGTAAAGAAATTTTGTTAAATTATTTTTTGAAAGATACTTTTCTTATGTAATTGTTTTAGCATTTTTCTACTTTTCTTACGTAATTATTTTGTGATTTTTCTGCATTAAGAGTTTGGGAGAGTTTGTTACATAATAGTAGTGAGTGGTTTTATCATGCTCTCTGAGTTATCCATACTCTGAAGTTTTGTTTATTTTATTTTATTTGGTTTTCCTACCGCATTGAAAAGGGGGAAGGTTGGCGCCTTCAAACTAGTTTAACCCCACTTATTCGGTCCTAAGTCCGAAATTGCTTTCTGACTCGCTAGGTTCTTCTTTTTTTTCTTTCTCTATAATTTTGTTCTTCGTGTTCAGCTTTTATATTTTTATTACGCTATTTCTTGTTATGTTCTTTTTCTATTATTTCTTGTATTTGATATATAATACATATTTCTTTTATACATATATATATATATATATATATATATAGAGAGAGAGAGAGAGAGAGAGAGAGAGAGTCAAAATTCGCTACTAAAGGGATATGAATATACAATTATCAAAACTGAAAAAATCAAAATTGCAAGATATCCAGACAGCAGATTTTAAAAAGGAAAGTTTAAGAATTAAAATAAAAGTATTTAAAATATAAAATATATGGATGCTACAGTATTATAAACACATTGCTGACAGCTCTTACGCATAAAATAATTTATATAAAAGTGGGATTGAACATGTTTTGTGGCCAGCCAACCTTCCCACTTTATCTTAATAATACTGAGCAAAAATCTATAGAAAATAATGGATAGAATATCTAAATCCATTACAAGACAAAGGTAAATTACCTAAAAATTGCATTCAAAAATCCAGAGCCCGCGCTAAATTTGAGTAGAATAAACAAATTATTGCAGCGTTTCTCAAACTGGGAGCGTGATAGCTCTGCGAGGGGGCGCGAGCATATTGAAAAGTTGAAAACACAAAATATTTTTTTTAAAAAAATTGCCAATTTACTTAAAGTAATAAACATAATACATTCTGATCTGACATAATAAAAATAAAGTGCAAATTTACATTTATATAATACACTTATAAATGCATCAGTACTGCAGAATGTATTTTATAATTAATACTAAGTTAAGACCAAGTAAATAATTACCAGTGACTACGTAGTGTTATCATATATTAGTACTTATCTTGATAATTTGTATCTTTTATAATTAATCCCGTAACTGTGTCGATTAAAAGTTAGAAGATTCGCTCCCCAATGCCACCGTTTTCCACGTATGTGAAGCATGGGGAAGAAAAGGAATAAATAAGCAAATCCTATGAAATAAGTACATCATTTTCAGACACTCTGTCAAGATTCTTTTATTGCATTCCAAAGCCTTCTGAATAATTTCATGGAGAGCAGTGCGCAGGAATAACCATACTTTTTGGACAGACGTATATATACGTCCGGGGGAAAATAGCGCTTTGACTGCGTGAGACGTTTATATACGCCGTAGCACTTAGGATGTTTAAGTCGTACTGCAGATTTAACATTAACGTATAGTATTATTGAGTACAATACATTCTTATTGTATACAGGGGGCGCGATGAAAATTATGTTTGAAAATTGGGTCGCAAACATTGAAAGTTTGAGAAGCACTGAATTATCGTAAGATTTTGAACCCAAATGCAAATTCAAAGCACAGGAATAGCTGAATAGTAGCACTTAGCAAAATTATGAAAATAATAGAAATAAAAAATTAATATTATTGTAAATTTATACAATGTTGTTCTTAAACATCGATAAGATATCGATGTTCTTTATTTTCGAATTTTTTGAATTGATGTCAAATTAGTATAAGAATTATGTTATACAATCGATATATTTTTAGTCAGTCATGATGTTACATCAATAGCAATAGAATTATCAAAGTAATATGACACCTTCATCCATAATATAAAATTACGATATCCATGGATAATATAAATCAATATTATCAATATCGATGATGTAAGGATCTACTGCCTGCACCTGGCAACAGGTCGAACGAGACTCACGATTTAGAGAGATGGACCTGGCAGCGACAGAGGAGAGAGGGGTTGGAACGAGGGAAGAAAGGGGAGCGGTGGCACGAAAAACGTGGTCGGATAAAGAAGAGACGGCTGGACGATGTATTGTAATCTTGTAACATCTTAATATATTCTTTTTTTAAGAAATGTCCCATAGAAGGTGTGGAATAAAACAGAGGGACAAAATTCTGACTGCAATTATTTTCTTTTCACAATTCGAACACGACCCGATCCGAAAAGAACCCACAAGTGTACAGATGACAACACTCATTTTATTCAGTAATATCGTTTGTATTGACATTACCTATCGATAAAATGGCTGTTATCAATAATTTTTCTAGTTATGGTAAACGCTAATTATAAACAATATATACCGAACTCTTTTTTTGTTCAGCAGATACGTTCTTTAGAAAACCGTGCAAAAACATACATGTGACATACGGTTAATTTGGGGATATGTTCCACATTTTTAAAAAATCGTGTATGATGAAAAAATTCGAAATATTTTCAAACCTTGCAAAAAAAAAGGAAAAATAAAATCTATGTTAAATATTTTTAAGACAAAAAAACAATTCATTTTTATTACAAAAAAAAAATTGTTAATACGTGTACAGTGAAATTTTACTTTGTAAATACGTACAACATATGAAAATTCGAATTGAAATTATGAATAAAACTACTGACAACTTTTCCTTACTATTTGATAACAAACGTGCTCGTTTATTATGAACTGGGTCAAAAATGCTATCATCAGTAAATGTGTCAGATATGTCTAGCACTACTAATTTTTTTAATGAAGTAAAGAATTTCATTCGCGCGCTTTATTAAAGCATTAGGTGGCTTTTATTTATTTATTGTTGTTACAAAGTCTGTCATTAGCGGCTGTTGATTTTTCCCTTGATATTCTGCTATACAAAACTTATGATTACGGGAAATTTTAATGCACGCTCTATGTCAGAATCACGAGTAAGAAAAATGTTGTCCTGATACTAGTAGCAAATTTCAAGCCTTTGCGAATAAAATCAGGTGTTAATAGCTGAACTTCACGTTCGACTTCGTTATTATCGACTCCGTTATCATAAACTGTAATACATTTGATCAAATCGTCCTCATCCAAAGGGCACAAATTCCCCCAAATAAAGGGGATTCGTGCTAGAACAAAAAATCATGTAAAAAAAAGTCTTTGTGTGTACCGTGTTCAAAATCATGTAAAAAAGATCAAGTAAAACAATGTAACAATGTATAAGTATATATATATATATATATATATATATATATATATATATATATATATATATATATATACTGTTTTTAAATGTATTGTATATGATCTCAGCTGTGTCGATAATATTAAAGTTCTTACCTTTAGAATTTGAAACCTCCTAAGCAAATTTCTCAATTCTCATTGTGGTTTTAAAATTGACAACACTTTTAATGACTGAATTTGAGCAACATTTTAATTTAAACACATTAATGCTTTTTAGCTATAATTAGTATAGTTTCTAAACTCCCCTTTCCTTTCTTCAGATATTTTTCACTAATAAAAAAATTAATACTTCGAATTCTCTAAAATTCTTCATGTTACTATTTTTAATCTGTAAAGTTTTAAAAACGGAGGTTTTAATCTTAATATGGTGTATAGAACAACGATATAAAATGTTTCACTCTCAATAGTTTCCACAAGATTACTTATTTCAATCAATATATAAGTATTTCATAATTCTAACATTAAAATAAAATAAAATAATTCTATTAAAAATACTGATTATTGCAGTGAGCTGCAAAATACCAGAATTTTTAGAAACATGGATTTATTTTTGAATTCACTTACCATTTGATGTTTGAAAACGGAAACAATTACCTCTCAATCATTTGCATGAGATAAATGTTTCTGCAAAATGATTTTTTTCCCGCCAGAGTATATTTAAAAACTCTAGATGGAATTCGCATAAAATTCTGACCTATTTCTATCATCTTCTACTCATTTCCGAATAAAATCCAACATAAATAATG